CGCCGATAAATGCAAGGTTCTTCACCTTGGGAAAAAAAACCCGCAGCATCCTTATAGACTCAGCAGTGCTATGTTGGCTAGCACTATGGAAGAAAGAGACTTGGGGGTCATCCTTGACCACAAGATGAACATGAGCCTGCAATGTGATGCGGCGGCTAGTAAAGTGACCAAAACGCTGGCTTGCATCCATAGATGCTTCTCAAGCAAATCCCGGGACGTCATTCTCCCCCTGTACTCGGCCTTAGTGAGGCCGCAGCTGGAGTACTGTGTCCAGTTTTGGGCTCCACAATTCAAAAAGGATGTGGAGAAGCTTGAGAGAGTCCAGAGAAGAGCCACATGCATGATCAGAGGTCAGGGAAGCAGACCCTACGATGACAGGCTGAGAGCCCTGGGGCTCTTTAGCCTGGAAAAGCGCAGGCTCAGGGGTGATCTGATGGCCACCTATAAGTTTATCAGGGGTGACCACCAGTATCTGGGGGAATGTTTGTTCACCAGAGCACCCCAAGGGATGACAACTACGTCGAATGGTCATAAACTACTACAAGACCGTTTCAGGCTGGACATATGGAAGAATTTCTTTACTGTCCGAGCCCCCAAGGTCTGGAACAGCCTGCCACCGGAGGTGGTTCAAGCGCCTTCATTGAACACCTTCAAGAGCAAACTGGATGCTTATCTTGCTGGGATCCTATGACCCCAGCTGACTTCCTGCCCTTTGGGCAGGGGGCTGGACTCTGATCTTCCGAGGTCCCTTCCAGCCCTAATGTCTATGAAATCATTCTCTAAGTTTAGAGGTGCACCGATACATCGGTGTGATGTTGGATCGGCACCGATATAAAAGAAAATTGACTGTATTGGAAATTGGCCTGAAGTGGCCGATTAATTTGGCCCACAAAAAGCTCGTGTATGTGCACAGCCATCCCGTGCCCGTCCTGCCCTGGCTGGACAGTGCTTGCCCCAGCCCCACTCCCTCCATCACTGCAGGGGACATTGATCTGTCTCCCATGCCCCTTCTCTCCCACTCCCCTTCAACCAGAACAGACTTACTGGCTGGACTGAGCTGTATCAGAAATCAGATTGGTATCAGCTGATATGCCTCGTTAAAAATCGGCTATTGTTATCGGCCCCCAAAATCTCTATCAGTGTACCGCTATCTAAGTTAATGGCTAAATCTGTAACTAAAGTGGATTACGAAATATTCTTTTTATGAGCAGTTCATTGCTATGCATTCTTTGATACTGCTCTTATTCTGAAAGCCTAATGCTTTTATAATTTTAAAGAAAACTTACAACCCCCCCCAACAACCCCAAAAGCTGTTTCCAAACTCTTAATAGCAGAATGATTTATGTTAAAACAAGTTGATAATGAAGTGTTCAGCATCTGTGATGCTATCTCTTTTTTTTTCCTGTTCTGTCTTACTGCTTTTGTTGCAACGTGCAGTATATGAAATCAGGTAAAGGGGCCGTATGTGTCAGATATGCTATGCAAAAATCAGCTAGGAAAATAAACTTAACATAGATGAGAGAGACTTTCCTTAGCCTAGTCAGCTAGTGGATTTGCTCATTTAAAGATTTTCTTCACAGGAAGACCTGGTTTCTGGGCATCCTTACACCACAACAGGCATAGCCCATCAGCCATGAAAAAGGTAGAAACTGGTATTTAAACAACAATCATGTTTGTTGCTTTGAATCCAAGGGCAAGGGTGTACACATGATTATTATGGCTGGTGTTGGTAGTAAACACTATGCTAAAGTTGCTTCACCCCTGTGAATCATCACTGTTTATTTTCAGCATTTTTTTTTTTCTCAAATTCCTTTTAGATTTTTGCTTGAAATGCCCTATGTCCCAGTTCTACAGTGAATTTCTTTTAGGGAAACTGAGGAATGCAGGTTCAGATATTTTTCAAGTATGAACTTTTCAACTTTTCTCCTGACTTAATGGCTCATTGTTCATCACTCCACAGGTGTTAATGATTACCTTTCCTTTTTAATGGTCTTGATGTTCCACTAATCTAGCTCTCTTTCTTAGGGTAATTTTGCTGTTTTGTAGCTGTTCCTGGTCTCTCTTCTATCGTTTCATAGTTCCAAAAACTATATAGATCTTTTCAGAATCATAGGTCTGCCCATCAAAAGCAGTCATCAGCAGCTAGGGCTTCAGCTTTTGTTAAACAGAAATGGGAGGCTTAATCTGAAGATTATGCTCTGTCCCTGCAGTATGCAGCCGTAATTCTGAAAACTCCTTTTCTTCTTCATTCTGCCTTTCAGAACCAAGGTGTGTATTGTATCCCAGGACATGTTGTATGAGAGAAAATATGGTATTTATCTCAGTGCTCAGTGTTTGGTCTGGATTAGTAATGATGACTTAATAGAGGTAAATTGTGTGGAATGAATTTCATACCTGGGTATGATAACGTGAAAAACTAGCAGTTCAGATTTACCTGTTTCACAGGTGTACCTGGGTTGCCTTTAGTGCTGTCATTCTGCTGTCACACAAGTGTTGATTCAATTACTTCACAAAATTGTTGGGATCTGCCTTTTTATATCATTGCTTCTACACAGCTTCAGTATGTTAAGTCTCTTCCCCTTTGCCATCCCCATGTGCTTTTTGATTCTGATGTTGTTATAATTTCATTTTTACTGCATCATTAGAAACTTGTTGCTTTCTTCTCTCTCCAGCTCATTGACATTGGGTAGGAGGTTTGTATATGCAGTTATTACTTAATGTTCTGGAAGGGGTTGTCAGTGATTATTAGTGATTTTCAGTGTATAATGGCCAAACCCTTTTGTTCCTGAAATTGCCTCATTTTGTTTCATGTTTTAAACTTTCCTTGGTTTTGTTTACTCTACAGCATTATTCCTGGTATACAGAAAATCTGGATACGTACGTGGGGTTGCTCTCATAACAATTCAGATGGAGAATATATGGCTGGACAGTTGGCTGCTTATGGATACAAAATTACAGGTAATCACCTCATCCAGGGTATATCATTCTGGATTTTGTCTGACTACTGGAAAAAACTCATCTTACTAGTCTTCGTGAGTTTTAGTAGCTGTTAAGGTAGTTCTTATCTCTGCATGTTAGCCGTGTCTGGTGCAAATAGACATTGTAATCTAGAAGTTGTGTTGAGTTACGTGAGACATGTTTGTGAGCTGCTTCTTTTGAGTCAGTGCTTATCAGGTCAGGACTCGTTCCAGGCAGATATCAACCTCATAAGTCACTGAATTTAAGTTAAGATGGATGTAATCTTAAAATTTTATTGATTTTTTTTAAACATATTTTAGCTTAAGTCTGAACCAAATCTTGGGTTGGCATACTCTTGTGATTTTTTTTTTTTTTTGTATCAATATGAAAAAAATTACTCTTGTTCAGATTTAACCTTAACTTTTATCCCATAGTTAGGCACCCCCCAAATTTGTGATTCAACATTGCCTGCAAAATCCGGGCAATGCCTGCAAAATCTGCAAAGGGGGGGAAAAAAAAACTTAACGAGCCCCATGGCAGTACAGAGGGGGGATGCCCCGCCCCTGCCCCTCTCCACCAATTGGCAGTGATGGTCAGAGCTTCATGGTGGACAGACCTTGCAGCCAGTCAGTGGCAAGGGGCCAAGTCATTGGGGCCCTGTGGCCAATCAGAGGCATTGTGGCAGCCCCTCCCCCCCCACTACAAAGTGGGCAAGCAGCCCTGGCAAATTAGGTAGGTCACTACTTATACTCGTTGAAGATGGCTTTTACAACAGATACACTGTAGCCTTTGTGGCTGTAGTTTTAGGCAACTTGGAGTATATTGAATGTAACTGAGATGAAAATAGAGAAACAAAGATGTGTTATGTTCAGTTGTGTAACTGAGGATGCTAGTTTGATACCAGTCTTTTTTCTGGTGTGACAGGCTTTGAGATATAAAGGTAGAACAGTTGTCTGTGGGGACAAGGGAACACCTTTATTGTTGTCGATTTATGCTTCCACCCGTCTGCTTCACAGCTGCATTGATATGATTCAAAAAATAATTCCTAGTAGTCACTAGATATTTTTCTTCAGTGGTCTCTGGTAGAATATGTTCAATTTTAGTCTATTTTTTCAAGTTGCTGGATCTTTTTCAAAGATTGTACTGTTTGTAAACCAGTAATCTGAATATACTATAAGGGGAACACAAGGTGATATGGCTAGGCAGTGCATTGGAAGGAATGCCTGTTTCTTGTGCTTCTATTTTTGGGTTAGGTTGACTGACAAGGGTTCAGATCCTTTTTATGGAGGGATTGACATAGTGATGTATGTGGAATGTGTTTGGATCTCCCCCATCTCATTTTCTTCCTTCTGAGGTTTTAAAGTAACTGAAGCTCTGATCCATTGCACTTTTTCCTTGATACAAAGGGCAGAAGCAGAACTCTCCAAATATAGGGCTGAAATAATTGCTAAAGGAAGACGCCAACGTTTTTAAGATATCAAAAGTAAAACTTACTCTACGCTAGCTAGAGTTCAAAATGAAGGACATGATGCAAAACCACAGCAGTTGAGGTAATACTTTTAAAATAAACTTTGTACTACCAAGTGGTTGCTTTGGCATATATCATCTGGATATTTTATTGAGCTTATGACTGACTAATCAAATAACAGATGAATCGAGAGAGAGAGAAATATAGGTGTTTATTACCCATTGATCCAAGTCCCTGTTGGAAGGACTCTCTGTATACTTTTTAGTAAAAATAAATAAATTTTAATTTTTTTTCCAGTAGCATGTTTTTTATGTAAACTATGCTTTGAAGTATAGGTTTAAAGAATAACAATTAACAGAGAATAAAATTCATGATTTATAATTTCTTTCTAGCACTTTTTTTTTTTTTTCAAAATGCCACGAGTACTCTTTTGCATGTAGTTTAGTTTGTTTAAATGTTATCTCTAAATAGAAAACAGGTGCTTTTGTTAGTGCATGATTCTCTTAAGTAGTGTATTTTTTCAGAGGGCTCCTAGCTTTTTACTAATTTGAAAGACTCAACATAATGTTCTTTAACTTAATATTTAAATAAATAATTATCCAAAAATGAAATATGAGGAGCTGTCCGTTAACATAAATTTATAGTATCCAAAAGTCTCCCTGAATATAGTAAGCCATTTTAGGCAAAAAATGGTTAGGATGTAGAGGTTTATAGTCCAGTGCTTTTCAGTCTTGTTAGACTCAAGGCATCCTTGGAAAATGCCAGCTTGTGTTTTGACTATGGAAAAGAATAATTTGTCTGTAAAGAACTCAGAAAGATTACAGCGTGCCAGAATGTTTTTGATACTGGAATTCTGTTTGAAATCACTGGTTTTGTCTTCTAAAACGTGTACGTTTTTACACATCTACGTGATAATGTTGTGCCACACCTGAGGGTGTCTCCCTGGTTGAGAATCACTGTTGTAGTCAACAGCATGTAAGGAAATGGCTAGATTTAGGGGCCCGTTTGACTTCAGCATGGTGAATGACTCTTCAACTACTTATTTTAAAGCTGAGTTGATGTGGCTGTTTGTGCTAATCCAGAGCAAAACTTGACCTTGTCTTGGGATCTGTAGTGGCACGTCTCACCTGCTCGCTCGCTCGCTCTCTCTCTCTCTCTCTCTCTCTGCTTTATATAGCGTTTTGAATTACTACACTTCAATAGTTGTCCATAAAGCTGGGTGTGTATTTCTCACCAATATGTATAATTCTGGAACACAGCATCATTCTTGTCTCCCCCTTAAAAGGCACCAAGGTATCATAAACAGTAGATAACTTTTATTATATTAACTTTTCTTGGATCATATTTAGTCTGCATGGCTCTCTTGCATCATTAGGAGGTTCCTACTTGGAATACGTTACTAAACAAGGGGATTGCAAGTCCCAAATTCTTATACAGTCTTTTTTTTTTCTTCCTTTAGTGAGTTGTATCTTTATGACTTGGGCTAACAAACTTGTAACTAGACATGAATGTAGGCGTAGAATATGTAGAACGTGCCTGCAGCAGTGTGGTGAACGTAATGCATATGTGGCAATGCCGGCAATTCATGTGACGTTTAACTACTAGTTTCTGAACAAGGGATTGCGTTAGCAAAATGTATTTAGAGGAACACTCTAACCTGGCAAGCCTAAAACAGGACAGCGTTCTCTCCTCCTCTGTTGGCTTAGGAAGTTTTGTTTTATGCTGTCTTATTCAGGGACAAGCCTGGAACTTAATTTTTTGCCAAAAGCAGCATAATGTTTTCAGTTAAAACTTAGTAATTGTGTACTGAATATTTCCCCTTCAAGAGCAAGTTGCTGCCGATATTTGACCTGACTTAACCTCCATGCTGGATGTAGACATTGTATGGGACCAAAAGCTGAAAAAGAAAACTGCCTGCCTCCTTTAGTGCCTTTTATAAATAAAAGCCAGATACCATAATACTTTTTTTGGAAGAGCACATGTAAATTACCTCTTTGCATTGGGACAGGCAGCTGGTAGAGTGGAGATGAAAGGAAGAATTTTTAGCAAAATCAGCTGGTGTTTAAGAAAACTGGTAAGAAAGACCAAAATAGTTTTTTGTTTTTTGTTTTGTTTTGTTTTTGTCTTGGGCTTTCGTATCAATACATTTGGGATTCTGGATACATTTTCAGCAACTTTGTGCTTTGGGTAGTAAGTAAATTTCATCAATCCAGGCCATACATTTCTTTATAGATAGGAATGGCATAGGCAGAATCAAAGGGTGTGGACAGACATAATACTTAGAACATTCTAACTGCACTTTAAACTGCAGGAGTTTGGATGTACAGGCCACTTTAGACTGGTTTAAACTTCCTGGAATATTTCAAGAGCACACTGAGAAATATGAGTACTATTTTGAGCTGGTTCTCCTTGAAACTTCAGTATTATGTGCAGAACATTCTGCACCCAGTGTCTGGTCACTCTTCTAGGCATCCCACCCTGCACTGCTCGGCCCCTTACAAGCCCATGCAACTGCTCTTGAATGCAACTAGGACTCTACTGCCCAAAGATCTACTGCTTACAGAAACCAGTCTGTAGGGGTAGGGAATCAGAAAGTCTCTGTGTTGTTTTGACTTCCTTGCTAGGGACCCTGAGGGAGAGTCCCAGCTTTATTTGGGGTTGGAGAGGGGAGAGAGAGAAAGAATAAACACTTGTGAATTGCTGTCTGAGGTGGGGGTGAACAGAGCCATTGCACAGTGGGCACTGAATAGAATAGAACCCTGTCAGTTCTGTGTTCAACTTGAAATGACTTGGTCCGTTAACTGCTAATTGTTCCTGCCCCCTGTGCTGCACTCTTGCAGCCAGCCCTGCCCTGCTGCTTCCACCCTGCCTGCACATTTCCATGCAGTTGCTGGGTAATGCAAGGCATTCGAGTAGTTGTAAAAGCTGGGGAGTTGGTGTGGGGGCCAGAGCGTGCAGCCCCTTAGGAACCCCAAGCAGGGATCCACGCAGCCTCCCACCAGCATCAGCCAACCTCTCCACTTCAACCCGCTGCCCAAAAATGGGTCTTTCTTCCCTTCCAGAGAAATCTGGGGGAGCTTCCAGTAGTCACTGACCTGTGGAAGCCTTGATGGTATGAGTAATCTACTACCCCCTGGTGGTGTTTTGGGAGCAGATCAATCCCTAAAAGATGGGGGTTCTATTTGGAACGCTTAGCAGTGTGGACACTTCTGTCCAGGGACAATTGTGAACTGGTTCATAATCTGTGACACTGTTGGAATGGTTCAAGTGTTGCATCTGTGCACACCCAAAGCCTGCCATTCAGAGAGAGTGTGTGTATGTGTGTGCATGTGATGGAGAGCTCTAGTGACTCTGAAGTCTTTTTTTATTAAAGTAGGGTAGTGAGCTACACATTTTGCAGTAGTAAAAAAAAAAAAAAAAAGCTCAGACCCAAGGAAATAATAGTGGCAGGTAATCAGCATTTGAAATAATCATTGGTAGTTTCTGGACTTCTGATCTGTATATTATCTGTGTTGGAGTTGACAATGGGGAA